GTGTGTGTGTGTGTGTGTGTGTGTGTGTGTGTGTTCTCTAGCTCCTTACTAGCAGCGGTGATGGCACATGTGCTCTGTGGGACGTAGAGAGTGCTCAGCTGCTGCAGAGCTTCCATGGTCACACTGCGGACGTCTTGTCGCTGGACCTCGCCCCCTCAGAGACCGGCAACACTTTTGTCTCCGGCGTAAGAGAGACACACAGATACTTTTCCATGTATTGTTTCTACTTGATCATATCAACTGTCACGGCATTTTATCAGGGCTGTGATAAGAAGGCCAATGTGTGGGACATGCGTTCCGGTCAGAACATCCAGTCCTTTGAGAACCACCAGTCTGACATTAACTGTGTCAAGTGAGTTCAGCACACACTATAAATAAAACGCGTTCCACAAATCTCTTAGCAGCATGAGGTTTTTTATTTTTATTATTTTTTTTCTCCATGTTGTGTTCCCTCGAACTAAGTCGAAGTTGAATGTGAAAATGTTACATGGTTGTCTGAATTTTTTGGTTTCGTATTCAGTCTACACTGGTATCGATGACAGCAAGCAGATCTTCATCATAATCTGCATCCACCCCGCTTGTGTTTTCAGGTACTACCCCAGCGGAGATGCGTTTGCGTCTGCCTCTGATGACGCCACGGTGGGTCATATTATTCCTGTTCTGCGATATGACGTGTGTGCGTGTTTGAAACCTTGCTCATGTTTATGGAACTTTCTCATCATTGTCATGAGCAGGAAGGAAAGTGAGACAGCCTCATTCCTCATTCGTCTCTGACCATATTAGTTCACTTCTCTTCTGCTCTACATTGGACATAAAAAGTCGCCACATTGTTAAAATGCCAGGTTTCTGCGATATGCATAAAAAAAAATGGCCAAAAAAGCTTGCATTTAAACAATGTTTTTCCTGATATCTGCTGTTTGTCTGCAAAGCATTCGAAAGTTTTTTTTTAATCTTTCCCCTTTGATGAGTATGCTTCTATGGTTGTTTCAGTGTCGCTTCTACGATTTACGTGCTGACCGCGAAGTGGCCGTCTACCAGAAAGACAGCATCATCTTCGGAGCATCTACTGTGGACTTTTCCCTCAGTGGTAAATCGGAAAAAAAAAAGTTTCCTTTCTCATGAACATTGTCTATATTCGACTCTCAGTCACACTTCCTCTTCCTTCCTCTCAGGTCGCCTGCTCTTCGCCGGCTACAACGACTACGCCATAAACGTGTGGGATGTCCTAAAGGGAACTCGCATTTCCACAATGTATGGTCACGAGAACCGCGTCAGCAGAGTCCGATTGTCACCAGACGGCACGGCGCTCTGCTCCGCCTCTTGGGATAACACCTTGAGGGTGAGAGGCACCTTATTCTTTTGTTTGTTTGTTCATATTTCCACATGACTGAAAAATAATGGAATTAGATATAAGGCGTTCCATAATCAAACTTTCACCATCGTAAAACCGCGACTAACTGTACTTAAAATGACTCAAGTCATGTTTTAACTTTCTTAACTTGTCACATACATAAACATACAGCATGCTTTTTTTTTGTTTTGTTTTAAGAGAAAAGTATTGTGTTAGGCTGAAATGTTAACATTGTTAATCTTCACTCTTCTGTAATGCAGATTTGGGCCTAGTCTCAACGTGCGAAGATCTGGAATCAACAGAAGCGTTTAAACCATCCTTCAGCGGGACAAAGACACAAGGCCAACAAATAAAAACCTTCAATGAGATTACAATCTGAAAAACATGCTAAAAATATCATAAATGTAAGGTATTTCTTTTAACACTAAGTGGTCGTGGTGTATTATTCTCATAATAGTTGGATGATGTCACTGACAATCAGTTTAATGTGTGAAGTGACAAAGGTAACTCATTTCAAACACAGATGGCTTTGTCCGTGAATACAGTAGACTGTATTGTCTGAGTATGAAACTGGAAGGACAGCAGTTTGGACCAAATTGGATTTATTCTAATTCAAGCACTGTCGTAGTTGTAATTTTTCTGCAAATCATTTGAATTGACTGTAAAACTCCAACTGCATTAAACACAATTGCATCACCAATGTGTGGTATTCAAATGTATGCGACTAAATAGATGACTCGATGTAAACTCACCGACAGTATTTGGGAGCAGCAAAAGTGGAGATTGGATCAAGAATAAAAATTGTACGGCCGTTTAAAGGGGAAGTCAACCCCAAAATATCTCTACAATTGTATGTTCTATGCATGAGTCTAAACACAGTATTCTGATTAATATTGCGTTTGTCAAAATACCGTCTTTAGACTTGTGAGGCTGCATTGAACTTTTTGTCAAAAAAATGTTGTGCTGGAGCCTATCCCAGCTGTCTCCGGGCGGCAGGGAGGGAGCACCCTGAACTGGTGACCAGTCATTCACAGGGCACACAGCAAAACAACCATTTGCTCTCATAATCACACCTAGGGACAATTTGGACTAATCAACCAACCTACGGTACCATACATGTTTTTAGATTGTGGGATCCATCTTTTGTACATATATTTTTAAAAGAACATGCTCCCCTATATGAGCATGCATGCATGTTGAAAAAAACAAAAAACTTTTGTTGTTTGAGTCAACGGGCCACAAGACCTGATATTGATCCTTTTGTCAGTGACACGTCTTGAATTTGTTACATAACAGGTTTAAAGGTCTTGAGAATATTGATGGGCCGTTTTTCCATGAAAAAAAATGGAACTATCTGAAGGAATCTCTGTTTCATCAGTTTGACTCACAATTTCTCTGCACGTAAATTGAATATTAGGTGGGAAAGTACCTTGTGTTAGGGACACATGAGGGAATTCCAGTGTAAGAAGGCAAAATAAAATAAAAGCAGATGCATTAAACTGCTTTGGTGTTTGCCTTCACTTACTTGACTTCAGGACAAACATCATTTTGTTCTTTCCCACTTCCTCATGCTGATCTCTCAAGCAGATCACATTGTTTGGGACACAGTCAATGTCAATGAATTTGAAAAGTTTGACCCTAAAACCACAGAAAGAGATCTACCGTTGGCTTTATTGAGTACAGTATCCCTTTTTAACAGACTCACGTGTGGAATTTCATACTGAACATAAATTAACAACACGTTTTGATATACAGTACTCATGATCATCCACAAACAACCGCGTCTATAATGACATTCGAGTGATTAAGGGTGAGTAAATAGTTGATCACCTCATTAATGCTACAGACAACCCATTTCACAATTGATTTAATCACCTTATAAAATAAGATTTGAGTCAGCTGATTTGATCCCATTGTCCTCATAGTAGTCAATTTTGCCCCTCATCTAACACTTTACGCAGTCTGTAGACTGCAACAAGGAGGGAATAAAACTGAACCTCCTGTATTTGTTTCTGTATTTATATATTGAAATGAATGTGTTATATTATGTGTTGAAAAAATATTTATTAGGTTCAAAATCAGCAAGCAAAACTTGTGTTTTCACTTTTCTGTTTCAGTGTTTCTGGTGTCTTTTTTTTTTCAAAAAAATCGTCATTGAAGTCTTTGATGTTTCAGCGAAATATCAAAGGATTGACGTCACAAAGGGCCTTACGACCTCTTTCATATCAATTTCCTTATAAGCGCCGTAACCTGCGCGGGCGCAGTTATACATCAGTCCACCGAAGTATCGCAAGCCTCCTTCAGTCTCCTTCCGCCCGCCGCCGGTCTTTTTGCGCTGCAGAGTAGAGCCGTCTTTTTATCGCAGGGAGGGTAAGTGCTTTTATTTTATATTATATATTATATATATTTCAATTTCTATGTCGCTATATCTATGGTGGTATTTAATGTGTTTTGTGGCATCAATGCGAGGTCTATGTACGGAGGGGCTTCGGCTTGGTGGAGTTTTTGAGAGCCGGTGAGGTGAATTGGGTCCTTTGTGTCGACCATTGCTCTGGTAACACATCAACGGCCAGCTAGCCTTGTGGCTAGCCGGCGAGCAAATCCCTCAAGTTCACCGGCACAAACCTTGTCTTAACCGGGGAAACTACGTTATGTATTGTGTTTCACTCGGTAATGTTTGACAGGGTAGTCGCGCGGTGGATCGAGTCTTATTTAGGTCACATTTATTACGCGGCTTCGGCGTTCAAAACCATTTTACAATGAGACGATACAGACGCCTTCACGTATGTATGGACGCTGTCATTTTTCTAACTATTAGTACATCTTTCTCTTCTGTAGAAGTTGAAAATGTTTTACAAAAATGACAATTTCAATCGTGTTTAGTTGGTTGATCTGGAGGTTGTGATGAGGCACACTACAGGAGGTCTTTGGTTTACGATGGAGTACCATAGTTCCGTTCCAACGGTGGCGAAGTAACGAGAATTTTACGTATGTCCGAATGTACGTAGGTAAGTATGCACGCTCGTCTATCGCTAACCCAACATAGTAGTGGTCAGAAAAAAAAATACAGGTAACAGTTTCATGAAAAGCATTTATACCAACCGATGAGATATAATATCTGCTAGTCACCTTGAAATTGTTTCATCACGTGACAGGTGATTCCCGGTTTACGGACGAGTTCTTTTGCTACGCACGCAACGTAACTGTTTTACGTTGGAACACGCTGTAGACTCGAGTGTCTGTTGGAGTGACATCGTTCTAATACTAATAATTATAATTTTGGTCATCTGAAATGTTGACACCGTTCCACGTTTAGTTGGTACTTTTTTAAAGAGGGGACCACTGGTGTTTGACCAACCGTAATTTTGTATTTGACTTACAGTAAGTAACTACCGGTACTAGTAACTATGAGCGAATAGCAAGTAATTGGCGCCACTACCCCTCCCCTCCAAAGTTAACAATTGTTTATATAAATAGTTTGAAGTGCAAATGAACCAACCGTGTTGTTGCATGTGCGTTTGCAGAACATGTCGTCGTGCGGGCTGTGGAATGAGAGCCTGGCCATAGCCGAGGACTACATTGGCCTGTGTCTCACAGCAGACCCCAGTGAGGCCCCTCTCCCTCCCAGCGAGGCGGCTGCCACCATGAGGCGCATGGGCCGGCACGCCGAGTCACTCTATGAGGCCACCTTCCAGAACCTGGTGCAGACCTTCGTCCGGGGGTGCTGGCCAGACCTGTGCTCTGGTCTCAGGAGGGTGATGCAAGAGATGGTGAGCGATGGATTCCTGAACTGGGGTAGAGTGGTGTCTGTCTTCGCCTTCACGGGAGTGCTAGCCAGGAGGCTGCTGGAGGACAATGAGGAGGAGGAGACCACCACCACCACCACCAAGTTGAGGCTGGACCTCAGCGATTGGCCCCAAATCTGCAGGAAGCTGGCAGAGACCATCGCTGACTTCCTGATCGAGGAAAAGAAGGAGTGGATGCTGGAGAACAATGGCTGGGTAGGTGCTTGCACCATCTTTAACTTTCTGCAGCTACAGTACTGCTACCACGTATAATTTGTCAACCAGTGTTTTTCCACTGTGATTGAAATAAAGCACATATTTTACATGAGAGCAATCCATCACAAACAAAGTCTCAAAAAGCTTTTAGAATATATCATAAGTACATTTGTGATTTGCTACTTGCGAATTATAGTGATGGGAAAATGAAGCTTCATGAAGCATTTGTGAGATGTTTTACTTCTCCAGATGGCACTCCTGGTTTAAAGATGCATTGTAAAAGTAATACATTTCCATTGCACTAGCCTTTATCTTTAAACCAAGAGTGCCATCTTGAAGAATCAAAAATTATACTAAGTGTTTCGTAAGGCTTAATTTGTCAATTAGTGGAATTTAGTTTTTTTTCTGTTTCGTCCTTAGGCCACCTTGCTGTTTTAATATAAAAGTGTTCTGCTTTTATGGTATGTTGGTGCCAAGGAAATATGATAAAGAGAGTTGAGGAGCCTCATGTAGTGCTTTACAGCCATCTTGGCACATAGGAACTATGTTAAAGTTAGTTGAAGAGCTTCATATAGGGCTGCGGTGTCATCTGGTGGCATCTTGTGACAGCGATTGTGCAGTTGAGGGGCACAAGGGTGGAAGTGTGAATCTTTGGACAGAACCTTTATCGAGCTGATTTTTATTTTTGTAGCATGTGAGGATGAGCGGATAGAAGTTGACAATCCACACACAGCGTAATCTGCTGCTTTTGCTGTCTTGTAAGCTTCCAAAAAGTAGTTGATGGCTGTACGTTTTTGTTTCTTGAGACCTCGTGGCCTCTTCACTCATTTGGAAGCTCAATGTTGGGGTTGTCCCCCTCCCTACATGAAAGTGCAATGCAACAACAAGGACAAAAAACTTTTTTTAGTTGGCATTTAAATGTGAATGTTCAGTCACTTCTAGAAATGCAAATTGTGAGGCTAATGCCTGATACCTGAAAGTTTCCAGTGGTATGTGCTAAAAAAAAAGTCCCAATGTGACTTGAAAGTGAAGGTCACTCAAACGTCTCGACACTGGAAAGCACCCAAACGCACATTTACACTCAACATTCAAAGGTTGCTTACATGATACACATGAGCATGTTTTTCGGTTTTTGGTTTCACGTTCGGATTGACGCTCTGCTGACAGACGCTTGTTGACCACGTGCTTTTTTTTGGGGGGGGGGGGACTACTGGAAAATCTATATTTGAACCAAGACTCCTCATAAAAAGGCATTTATAGCCACACTGGGCTGTCTGCTTTTGTGAATGGGAACACACACAAACGCGCGCACGCAGGCCCCTCCTGTTGTTGAGTTGGCAGCTGCCTTCAACTGCCACAAAGGCAGCTCAGCCACATGGGCTTGAAGTTGCGTGCTTGCCTGCGTGCGCAGTCAGTTAGCGGTGCGGCAAAGTTGTGTAGTAGTTGTTGTCGTGAGACAAAGCAGCAGCTGTGTACACAACGACAACAGGTGGGATGTGCTCTTTGTCGTCTTTTTACCTGCACTCTTCAATGTGTTCTTTTTTTGAGCACAGAGAGTTAGTTGAGCCCTGCGCCACTCAAAAGCAGAGCACCTTTTTTAGTGGGCGGGGGTAATATTCTAGAGCCTTATTAGTGTGAAATTATGAGTTGTTTCTTCTGATACTGCAACTTTGTATCCTCCTTAAATACACTTTTTTTCCTCTCAAGATTATGGATTTTATTCTTGCAATAGGCAAGTCTTTAATATTACAACTTCATTTACATGATTTTTTCTTGAAATCTTACAGCTTTATTCTTCGACAAAGAAGGCAATATTACTAATCTCACCAAAATATTTTGCTCGAACCATAATCTTACTTTTGTAATTTGGCTAATTTATTGTCTATTTTTTTTAAATATTCAAACTTTATGCTTTAAATAAATTCTTGTAAGATGACAACTTTATTGATAGTTTTGTATTTTTACCTCATGTACTTTGTGATTTTTGTTTTTGTATTGTAACAATTTTCATCGAATTTTTTTTTTCTTGGTAATGACTGATTCAGTCTTGTAAAAATATGTGTGTGTGTGTGTGTGTGTGTGTGTGTGTGTGTGTGTGTGTGTGTGTGTGTGTGTGTGTGTGTGCGCGCGCGTGTGTGTGTGTCAAATGAATGATTGCTTTTGAAAGTAGGAATCAAACCTGACGTTCAAGTGCTCAGTGGTTTTCTCCATGTGCTTGCTGTTGCAGGAGGGTTTCTGCAAGTGGTGCAGCAGCAGTAGCAGCAGACAGTCCAGTCAGGATGCATATCTTAAGACGGCGCTGTTGGCTGCGGCCGGCGTGGGCCTCGCCGGACTCACCTTCCTGCTCGCCCGCTAAACTCATTGACATTTCACTCAGTCTTTTCCCTGTTGTCACAACATTTCTTTTTCTGTCATCTCTTAACATCAATGCTGTGCAATCAGGCAGTCGAATGTTACAACTCTCTGTGTCTCTCTTTCTCTCGCTCTCTCTGTCTCACACACTCACACAGGCGTTGATCTCTTGCTCTATGCGATTGTACAACTGATCTGGATGCCTCCTTGACACAGCGTTGAAGCCAGTGACTGGAAACACTTTGGTCAGTCAAGACTGCCTTGTCTCTGCGACAACGTGGAAATTAATATATTATATTTATATCAAATGAATCCCTTTTTCTAGACTGACTTTGCGTTCTTTTGGCTTGTTTTGGAATGCGTGTGATTGTTCGAGTGCAATTGTGTGTGTTTGTGTCAAGCCCGGTCAGCAGGGCTGGCATGGCCATTTCATGATGGTGCTATTTGTTTGTGAAATGTTATCTTTTTATCAATGTCTTTTTTTTTTTTTTTTATCTTAATGCCAGGGACCAATGACATTTGAGAACAAGCACCCAACAACCTATTTTTACATTGTTTTGGTTGTATTTATTTGTCACCTTTTTTTGTAATAAAAAGTCAACCTACAGTTTTTGCACATTGGTGTTGTCATGTGATGTAAAACAAAACCCCAATGCTGCACTACACACACCAGCTACATGAGTTAAATTCACTGGCCTGGTCAATGATAATAATCTTGAGGGTGTGTGACAAAAGGATGTGTATTAATTGAATGGAAGTTTTACTTAAAATTGCGCTAACCGCTCGGCTGCCGTGCTTGGAATCACATTTATTTTACTGTAAACCATAATGGGTGAGCACGAAGAACTTGTATCTGGCCTTTTATTCTCCAAAAACCACCCAACATCCTGGTCATAGCTTGTATGGCTAAGCTAACGGACATATTTTTTTTTCAACACAATTTGTTGAATTATGTGGAAAGTGCATCGTACTGCACTTAGAAATTGAACTTCAGAAGCAATGATGTGCCAAAATGACCTGGTTGATGTTTGTTCAAACTGCTTCGAACTGTGTAGCAGATATGCAAATCACTTGCACAGCATCCTTGACCTCAAGGATGCTGTGCAAGTCTGAATTTCATTTTAATCACCCACTTGAAGGATCCTAACAGTTAAGACATGTTGAAATGTTCCTGCAAAATGAAAGACTTGAATGTAGGTCGTGGTAAAGATGCAGTTTATTTTGAAGCACATATTACAAACATGATGTGGTTTCGACCAAAAATGGCCACAACATGATCATATTCAGTGCAGTTTGCCTTTTTCCACCCTTAGCCAATGTTTCGTCCTGATTTGAGCAGTGATCATGATAACCCAAGTTGTGATCCCAAAGCAAAAAAAGCACTTTTGTTGTTGTATCCAATTCTTTGCATTGCGTCCCCAATTGCTCATATGATGAAGCGTAAACCAGGCAGCCACGATGGGAGCAGCTTCCACAGACTCCAGATCAGCCGACGGCCTTCTACGGCATCGTGTGTCGCGCTCTTTTGACGTTTTAGCGTGCACAGTCATCAAAAGAAGGACAGTCGTCGTCTGGCCCCTCGGAGGCTTTCTCATCATGCTCAGCTGCTTCTCTTCTGTGGGCACAACACGGGAATCATCCACTTTGAAGGCCAAAAATGTCAAATATCATGTGAAGAATTAGTGCAGTGTTCCAGTGCAGCATTAATTTTGTTTCGACACAAGCCATTGCTTGGTCAATTACAGTATTATTAAATGCAAATATCCAACTCAGCAATTATCACTATACTTTTTCATTCTCAAAAACTGGAATGGAAATCTTGTTGTTTCATTTAATTTCAACTGGGAAAATTGATTTGGAGTGGGTTGAGTTACTCGCCTGGAGAGCAAATTAAATTTGTTAAGTCAAGGTAGCGCTATAGCGTATATTGAAATACAGACCTTGGCTCAATTTACGAGCAAATTAACTTGCAAACGAATTGTCATCTTCAGACATGTAGTGACGTGCTGCCCTCTTGTGGCATCAAGAGGAGACTTTACAGAGGCATGTAGTGACGTGCTGCCCTCTTGTGGCATCAAGAGGAGACTTTACACCAGTCTGATGAAGTACAGTACTGTATCTCGAAATCGGTCGATATTTTGCATTTGATGGCGAATCGGTGATCGACTGTAATGTCATGATTTGCGTGATCCATCAATGACGTCATTGATCGGATCCACAAAGTAAGATAAGACACAACCACGTTCACGCCGGGGTCGTTCCTTGCTGCCATATAGAAGATATGTGAGTCCGAAAGCGAATTTATTCTTAGTCTTGTCGTGAATCCTTTGCGCTGGCAGACCTGCGCGCCCTTGACCATCCAAACACAAAGTCATTTGTGTTCATGTCGTCTTTTTTTTTAACTCACACTGAAAAAGCTCCGTTGTTGACAGACGTAGAAAATATTTGCTAAACAAGGATACAAGCTCCACTGCAGTCATATGAACGCGAGTTGAGCTATTCTCAGGTTGCGATTTCATATAACGTCAAAACAGTTTACAAACCTGTACAGCAACATCTGAGCCAAACGGCTTTGAGAACGTGATTAATACGTCGCATACACGCCAGGTAAAAAAAAAAATGGACAAATGATGAAGAGCAAAATAATCATTGCGGTCACAGCTAGCTTTCAAAATGAGCCAAAAAGGAGCAGCCGCGGGCTACTTGGCGGAGCCGGCAAGAAGTGTCTTGGAAGTGACTTGTTTACTTCCAGCTCTTGAACCAAGATAGCAATAATTTGAGGAACAAACCCAGCACCTTGAATGGCTGGCGAAATTCATGATTCCCCCCCCCCCTTAATGTCAGAGGAGATGTAAACATGAAAAAAATACATGTTATATTTAATGTTAACCAACATTTTTTGAATTAAGAAACAATGGGGAGTTAGTGATCTTTTCTTTGGCATGTTCACTGACGGGGATCAACTGTATAGTCGAGATACAAGGAGTTTAAATAGAAACACTGCTCCATCTTCTGATTCACAGGGAATGTGACATGTTCGTTGTCCCTTCTGCCATCTAGTGGAAACGTATTTAATTGTTCTGCTTGTCACTTTACATTCTTTGTCAATGTTATGGCGATATACGAGATCGATGAGAGGAAGCTTTTGCTTTGTACTGTCACTCACCATCTCATTTTGACTTAGCGCTTCTTGATCTTCGCAATGATCTAGACACACACAGACACAAGAGAAATGTATTAATGGAAAACTAATTGTTACTTAAAAATTCTGAGTGTGTGAATGTCATTCACCTTATTCTTGTCCGGGAAGTTTCCTGTGGCCAACTTGGAGTAGATCGATTCTCCATTCACCGTCACCTCAAAACTCGCTGAGGGCAAAGTGATTTTAATTACTTTGTAGTCCTTTTATGATATGTTAGCCCTCGAAGACACTGTGCAACCTTATACATTGGTGTCAACTTCATTTCCTTCTTTTTCATTCAAAACTTTGTGTTGGTGAAAATGGTTTGAAACTTCTCAAAATTGTGGTTTTTGTCTCAAATATTTTTCTATTTCAGCTCTTTAAATACTTTGGACAGTGGTACCTCTACGTGCGAACATCTCTTCAGACAAAATTTTCAAGTTACGAAACGTCTCAACAGGAAAATGTTGCCTCTTGTTTCGAAAGAAATTTCAAGTTACGAAACGTCTCAACAGGAAAATGTTGCCTCTTGTTACGAAAGAAATTTCAAGTTACGAAAGGTAAAAATCCAGTATGGGCGTCGACTCGCAGCTCCGAGTTTCCTGAACGCAACATACTCATAGCTGCTCTGCCATTGGCTATTACTGAGCATCTTCCTGGCATCCCATTGGCTAAGAGGGACCTCTACCGTATGGGTCTATGTGTGAAGATAAGTCTCTTTGCAGCACCCTCGTCGTTCTCCCCTCGGGCTTCGAGGTGTTCCAGTCGTTTTATGTAAATGTGAATCACCCAGAAAAAGTGTTCACCAGTCGGGCGATCACTCACGATGCTGATGTTTGCCTTGGACATTTTCGAAGGATTGTTAAAAGCCGACAAAAGCAAATGCCCTTGGATCAGTTCTTTCCAAAACGCCAGCCAAAACCCACTTCTGAGAGAGAAAATGGACTACAGAGGGCAAAAAAAAAACGCTGAGGACACAGTTAAAAGACCATTTTTTTCTTTGTTTTTTACATTGTGCACAACTCTCATTTATTGCGCAATCATATAATTGTAACATGATTTGTTCCATATTTTGATGCATTTCTATGCTTTAGAAAACATTTTTGTCAGAATTTCTTTTTTTTTTTTTGAGGGGTGGGGCTTGGAACGAATTAGGGCATTTCCATGGAAAACTCTACTTACATTTTCTTGTTAAGAAATTTCTTCCAAAACCAATTAATTTCGTAAGTAGAGAGGTGCCACTGTATCAGTAAAGTACTGTTTACATCAAATTGCACCTTTTGGCTCTATCTTGTCGACCCATGAAAGACAGATTTTTAAGTTCCGGAGTTACAGGGCTGAATCATACCACTTGGGTAAAATGGATTTCATTCTCAACTCAACACTTGAAAACTTTTGGTTTTGATTTAGTGGGTTTTGCGCACACCGGTGGAGTTTTCTCCGGGTACTCCGGTTTCCTCCCACATTCCAAAAACATGCATGGCAGGTTGATGGAGTGCTCTCAATTGTCCCAAACTGTGATTGTGAGCGCGAATGGTTGCTCGACTATGTGTACCCCACCTCGTGAGGATAAGCAGATTAGAACATGAACGAATGGATAAATAACACATTTTATATGAAACTACATATTGCATATTCTTCGTTTTTCAGTTTAAAAAAAAACAGTCGTGTTTTGTTGAGAGCAGAATGCAGACTAAAACAAACCAAATAATTTAATCAATATAGAAATAGAATAAGTGATTGAAATTAAGAAGAGAATAAAAATGCACAAGTACATTTCCTGCCAACATATCCCTTGATTTGAATGGCGTCCCCAAACTCCTTCTTCAGCTCAGTTTCCAGGTCTGTAAACTTAGAGCCGTACCCTCACCTGCCGCTGTAAAACAACAATACGTCAACTTTTCCCATCACTACAAAACAAAACACCGTCTGACCTGAAAAGGAAGGCAACTCACCAGTACTCAATCTCAACATTCAGCATTTTGCTTTTGTTGTTGTTGTTTTTTTTTTAGCTGGTCGACGAGCAGCACACGTCAGTCAAGTTCTTGCTGAGAGTGGATGAAAATGCGAAGTCACGTCCGTCTGACTTGGTTTTGTAAAGTAAAAAATGGACCACACCCAATGGGAGGGAACTGCGACACGGTCGGCCTGACAAGTTTGTGCATCAACATGTGACGTCAGCCAGTTTGCTATTTCCTCTTTCATTTCACCTCCCACTTGAAACAGATCCATAAAAAAGATTCTTTCTCTACATCAGCATTTGTCGATACAAAAAAAAACCCCAGAACTGTTTTGACAAAATACATTACAAAACTTACAATTAAAAAAAGAAGACTACTTTAATCATACACGAATCATGTGATTAGCCCAAAACTAAAAATCTATTCTTCAGTAAGAAATGAAATCAAGGAAAAAAAAAAAATAATTGAGCAACAATTTAATATATGAAGCATTTGATTGACTTCTCAACACACTACATTTTCAATAAAAAGAACAATACAGAAATTGTAAAAAAACAACAACTATGTATTAAAAAAAATTAAAAGGTAACAAGTAGTGGTGCGTTGTAATACAATTTAATTTGTTCTGTGACCATGCTCACAACACACAAAACATACACTTTAAATAACCCTTCCCTGCTGAAATGAATGGAAATGGCATTAATCTGTTCCAGCAACTCCAAACTTTTTTTTTGCAGTTTTTAAGGGAAATGGTACCATATAATTTAGCATTTTTTAAAAAAAGGTTTAGTAGTGTGAGTCATGTTTGATCAAAAAGTGTCTGAGTATTGTTATATTGTTTCTCTATTGTTGTATTGTTGCTGCACCTTTTGTATTCAAATATGGATTGCTCAGGTTTGTAGCGTGCAACGTAGATACTATCTGGGTTAATGAATGTGAAAACTGCTGCTGCATGTCAAGCGAGTTAAATTCACTGCCACTCTACTGTTCATGTCTCAGATTTAGCTTGCAAGTCAAAGCAAAACAAAAAAAGAATGACAGCTTGTATCTCTAAAAACTTGAGTCGAGTCACTCTCAAAGCACCACTGTGAGTTCTTTTTAAAGCCAGCAAAGTCAAAAATAATAAACAAATGAAGAGATAAAAATGAAATACACTGAGGATAAGTGGATAAGAAAATGGATGGATGGATGAAATGTACTAAATGATTGGCTTGCTTGCAAGTAAAAATCTTCAATTTTGAATCCAAAAAAATACATAAAAACAAACAAGTAACTCCCCCAAAAAAGAATTATAGATTGAGAAAAGTCACAATACATGAGAGGTTAGATTGACATGCAGCTGCACTTTTCAATAAAACATACATTTAAAAATAAAAACAAGAATGAATAAAAAAACTGTGAAAATATCAAATCAAATCTTCTTGATTTACTTGCCCCAAAACTAAAAAAGGCATAAAATACAAGAAAGATGAAAAAAACAAAAACAAAAAAAGGCTCCAAAGTGAACACCTGTATTTTCAATCATCAAGAAAATACAAATAAAAACAAAAAAAAGCAATAAAACTATCATTGGAAAACAAAAACAAAAAAAGAAGCATCAATACAAACAAAATATTTGAAGAATGCGCTTAACTTGCTCCAGAAACTTTGAATATTGTTTAATGAGACAAGTAGAACTTCATTCTCCAATTGGGAAAAAAAAGACAAGAAGCGAAAGAAAAATTATGATGGCTCATCTTGAAAGTGAAACAAAAGCCGACGGCCCTTTCATCACTTTCACTGTCGTCATCCAGCACAAGACATTGGCCACAACATTAGGTACACCTTACGAGAGTCAGCCTTGACAAAAAAACTACTAATGTTCAGTTTGGGAAGAAAACTATCTTTTGTTCAGCAATTTATGCCAGCGACATATATTGACATGAAGAACAATCAAGTGCTCTTTGGAAGGTACGATTTAACTGTGCATCCATTTTGGTGGAGATTTTTTGGGGTGGTATGCCATGAGATTTTTCTAATGTCAAATATACCTGTATATGTGCCTTGTTTGGCGAAAGTGTACGTTGAGCATCTTTTGTCCCCCCCACATCAATAAACAACTCAAGTGTCGTTCCTCGTACAAGCGAGAAAGTACTTTCATCAACAGACAGAAATATCCCAATCACAAACAGAGGCAAAATTATTGAGCCGCCTCTTTTAATGACAGAAAAACCCACAGTGGTCACATAAATAACTTCAATCCGACAAAATTAATAAATATGTAATTAAATGAAGCAATGAAATTCGCATTGCTTTTGAGGTGTGGTTTAACTGAATTATATATTAAAAAAAGTAACAAGTCTGGGGTGAAAAACAAATGATGGGAACCCTTGAAAGGACACACATAGAATACAAATTAAAACACAAAACACATCGTACTCTCTTAAAACCACATGACACGTTAAACTTATTTGTGATTTTATTGGTTAAAAATGTTCAGTACAAAATGTACACTGTAATACCCTTCAAGTGTACCCTGAATAAAAGATGACAAAGCTCATGCTCATGCAGAGAACAGTATCTATAAGATACACTAGATTTCATTCATTTGCGCGTATTGATAGGTGATGACAAAAATATTGCAATTGTACCTTAGTAACAAAAAAAACAAAACAAAAAACAATCGAGGGCGGACACACTTTTTTTTTTGATTAAAATGATACAATGTCGTGGAAAAGTTGCATTGCAATCTGCCCTTTTTTAAAAAAAACAAACATGTTTTCAGAGATAAAAAGCTGCGATACAAGATGTTTGGACATATAGAACAATAATGCGGTGTTGTAACAGATATACAATGCACTTTGATTTCTCTTTTTTTGTAAATATATATATATATGTATATGGGAAAAGAAGGCAACATCAAGAAACATCAATAAATAATTCTTGTACCATGTATGCTCATGTATGCACATGCAAAACATCATTTCTTTTTTTTTGACACAGCGTATGGCCATTTCCATGGAAACACAAGCGAGATTCTTCCAGTTGATTGATTGATTGATTCATCACAGCGTCACGAGCCTCATTGATTGGTGCGGCTCCTTGGTTCCGTCCCCCGGGTAGACACCTGCTCAGGCGTGTACTCATTCCTCTTCAGATCTAAACCACAACAATACGATTTAATTTCACGCTAGCACAAACACGCCATGCAGGGCTGACCATACAGAAGACGACACATAAGTGATTTTCGGTGTGGTACGCATGCTCCCTCTAATGGTATAGGAAAGAATCAATGAATTAAATGTTCAGTGGATTATTATTATTATTATTTTTTTTTTTTTTTAAATAAAACAGTAGAAAGCTCAAAAACACTAATCAATCTCTCTTCTCGTAATCATCTTCTCGTAATAGACAATAATAAATGTTTTACGATGTGTGGCTCTCTGAGGACTGTCGAAAATGGGCCCAGCTCACCAGGAAGTTTTAACTTCCTGCAGCAGGAGTTACAGCGATGTTTCGCTCGGAAGTTCCTAATGGCTTCGTCACCCAGGTTGGCTGGTCCAAAGATCATGTCGTATGACCTGTGGGGGGGGGACCATTAAAAAAAAAAAAAAAATGATGCAAATGAAAAATGAATGAGAAACATGACTTATCAAAGAACACATAATGTGAAACAAAGGCCTGTTCACAAAGCACCTAAATGCGCCGACGGCTAACCCATTCATTGCGTATGTGCTGCTGTGACGCAACAACGAAACCCATGGTGGTGTTTGCGACGGAAATATGCAACCTTTATTGCCCCACGGACCAGTTTAATGTCAGACAATATTTTCAGGGACCGGCCTTTAAGGTGTGGCAAATAAATACAATAAAATAATATGATATGACCTGCATGAAAACTGGTATTTTCTCAACATAAGAAGCAAGAATTATAAAACGAGGAACGTCCAATCTGGCCGCAATGTTCTATGGTAACGTTTAAACGTGCCTTCCAAATAAGATACACCATACATACAAAGTGCATGAAAAATACGGCTCACCATCGCCGCGTATTATGCAGAGTGGGAATCTCCCGTTGAGACAAATCCGTATTTTAAGTAGGACTCCTGATACTGTCTATTAAATGTAGCCTTCTTTTTCTTGAAAGTCGTAAGCTGCTCTTCTGTCTCCTGGCTGTGCCTTTTCCCATTCCCCCAAAAAACTTTCCAAAGACATTTGGGTTTTCTTTTTACTCATTTTGCTAGCTCCTGGGTTTCATTTTAGCGGTAACCTATCACGTGACCGAGAAGCGCGATTTGACGCAGACGGATGTAACAGAGAGTCAAAATAAAACAGATTCTGAAAATGAATAAAACGCAAGTAATGCAAGTTATTTATTCTTTCCGTGCGGCCCGGTACCAAATGACCCACGGACCGAAAACGGTCCGCGGCCCGAAAACGGTCCGCGGCCCGGGGACCACAGACATAGAAGACATTTATGGATGTTTAGGTCAAGCTAACACAGGTGTCAACTTAATAGGACATATTGAAGTGGTGTTGTTCATGTGACAGACGCGGGCATACCCCTTCTCGCCACTCTTTATTACAGACGGATCAGTCAGAATGTCTCCAACCCCTGAAGAGAAAGAGACAAACTGAAATGAGAGACCGCCACAGCAAAAAGAAAAAAAAACCCAACCAAAAACAAAACTGTCACGCAAGTGGAGCGTTGATGTTACCCTGCAGGTCGAGCACCAGCAGCTCGCCACGCGTGTACTCGTAGGTCCAGTGGCTAAAAGCCAGCATGGTCTCCTCCAAGAGGTTGGTGGGAGCGATCTCATCGCCGTTGTTGTTGTTGAACTTGCGGAATTCGCCCGTGATGCACTCTTCGATGGCGAACCACTGGCCCGCAGAGTGACAGTAGAGAAGGAACACCTCGAGGAACCTGCACAGGCACAAAATGGTGGCAGGTCTAAAAACATGCATTCGGTTTTGTTTTTGTTTTGGTCAAGGCGGACTCATGTCTTGAACTTTTAGTCATTTAGGACTTTATGGATTGTGGTGTGTGGTCACATAGTGGTTAGCACGTCTAAATTCCACTTTTGAGGGTCATGGTTCGAATCTCGGGTCATGGCCTTGCACGTTGTCACAGTGCTTGCGGATGATCTCCAGGTGCTCAGGAAACCGGAGTACCCGGAGAAAACCCACGCAGGCCCGTGGAGAACATGAAAACTCCACACAGGAAAGTCGGAGCGGGGATCGAACCCACAACCTCTGCACTGTGAGGTTGACGCGCTAATCACTGGACTGCCTTTACATCACCATTTAAAGTATATTAAAACTGAGTGTTTGATTAAATTTATACACTAGTAGTAATAGTTAACAGTATACAGTGGTTAGCTTACTTGTTAGAATGCCAAAAAGTTACAGAAAACATTGCCTGTACAGTTAAGATATTTTTTAATAGTAGTGACAGTTTCAGCTTGGAATGCATCCCATTTCCATGGCGACTGATTTGGAAAACTGTTGGCAAAATGGAAATAAATGATGTCAAATGGTTATTCAATGCAAATCCGGGATACTATTTTGTAATGCAGCCCTTTCAGAAATCATATTTTGGGCAGTCTGTTAAATGATACTTATGTAGTGGCGCGTGACACACCTAATCGGCATGTTGACAAAACAGGAATAAAGACAGTTGAAAGGGACGTTGGCTTTTGTGTCTGAAACCGGCTGGACCAGCTCAGCAACAATGTGGCATAAGCAAATGCGTCGGCCGTGGCGACTTTTTTTTTTTTTTTTATTTGCATGCTGAGCAACGCCTGGGGTGGAGCAGGCTCAAGATGATGTTTTGTCCTCGCTAAAGAAAAACCTGCTTCCATTAATGAGGGTGACATAATTTTGAATGACAAAGCTCGCACATCAGGAGACATCGGCTTTTGTTATGGAAGTACAAACGGCACCGTCACTCATAAATACGGAGAAATGGTCGTGTTCTGCGGAAAAGTATCTTGTGATACTTGTTTTTATTGCATCACATTGAGCATCTTGGGCAAAAGATGCGTTTTTTTTTTTTTTTTTTTAAGCCTAATCCATCACACTGCTCAACAAATTTTGACTACATTTTTCAATCTGAGATGCAAGTTAACTTTTCTACATGATGATGAAATTATCCAAAGTATGTCACTTTTGTGACATTTTACACTTTTGTCATCGTGGGGTGTGCTGTGTAGAATGTTGATAAGTACAGGAATTTTTTTTAGATAACATATGGAGGAGAACAAAATAAAGCATGCTGAATATTTTCCGGCTGTACAGTAGACAGATGGAGTTGCAGCGAGCAAGTTAAATATGGTAAATGCAACGACATTTGAGAAGATATTTAACGAGCCAGACAAAATAACCACAGGAACCTGTTAATCGAGTTGGTGGAGTGACTCATTTGTTGCACAGTCATCATGACACCTTGAGAACAGAAAAAGTTAGAAAACAAATTTCCTCTGTTGTTGGCCGGGTTCTTTAAAAGAACACTGCAGGATGTGATACATATAGCAGGAAATTATACTTCCAATATCTGTCTTCAGCAAACTAGGAAAGAAGAAGAGTGTGGCTACCGTTGACATGTCTTGACATGTCGACCCCACATAACCGACTTCCGCAGGGAGCAAGCCAGGTTTGTGCGAGGTGCTAATGTTACCGTTCAACTCATCAAACGTAACCGATTTACTTGTGTCCCAAGTCCCTTCTCAATTATTTTTAAGCCCTGGGGTGCTGTGTTTACCTTGGTGAGTAAGGAATAGGCTTGGGTCGGATCTGGTTGAAGGCTACCGTCAGCTTCTGCGCAGCCCGCTGCTGTTGAATTTCCTGAAAACACAACACATCAATTCTGGAACAACAAGCATACATTTACCTGTATGATGCATTGCCTTTGTGTGTGATTGTGTTTCGGTACCCTGAGACAAAGGTGCAACACAGTATCATCCTTGTAGATGCTTTGCCAGGTCTCGACCACCTCGGGCAGGAAGGACTTCACTATGTACAGGTGCCCAGGCTTGAGGATATCATATTCGGACCAGGTGCAGAGGACTTTGAGGGCCCGTCGAAGGCCGCCGCCCATCTCCTCTTTGCTAAGAAACTCAATCTTGGCACAGAGGCCACGCTGGGCCCAGGAAGACATGCTGTTGTTGATGGTGTTGGGCGAGCTCTCCTCCAGGCGGTACACCGTCACTGGCTCTCCTGATGTGTGAACACATATGTTTAAAAAGGCTCACTGTAAGTTCCCGAACATATCACGCACTCCTAAACAACAGCCCCAAGCAAATCCAGCCTTAAAAAGCTTTTTTTTTTTCCTCTGCACTACTGTATAATATGGTGAATCGATTTACTGGCATCCTTTATCATTGGAGTGAGTGAGTAAAACGAATGAATAAAGATTCAAGACATACCAATTAAGAATATCTGTAATACTTTTAAATACAGGTTAAAAATTATGCTCTTTTCCCAGACCGATGATTAAGGTTTCTCAAAGCAATAGATAATCAACATGTTTTCCGCAAATTTAAACAGTACATCGCAGCAAACTATTTTCTTCACTAGGAAAAATTTTGGGTTATCAGACGAAGTGACATCAGACCCACAGTAGCAACTTGGCTGGTGAAACAGCACGTTTAAGTATCTCTAGTTGGTTACAAATTATTCAGTAGGAACTGCAACTGTGTGAGACTGTCAGCATCAAAATGTGCAGTCATTTTGGCCGATTTAATTGTCTTTAAAAAAAAAAGTCCAATATTCTTCCTTCGGAACCTTTTCCAGCCTATATCGGGCACTAATTTAGCATCTATCTGCTGGCTACTACCCACTACGCTGGGAACAGGAAACACATTCTACAGTATGACGTCTGCGAATTTTTTTTTTTTTAAAGCATTCTTAATTAGCAATTGAACATGATTTCAAGACGACGCCGTGTCGATGTTGGTGGCAACAGCTTGTGATGGCAATTTAAACTTAAATTGGACTTCAACTTCAAGTCAGGGAAAAAACAAACAAACTTCAAGTCAGGAAAACGAGTCAAGTCAGCCACTAAACCACCATGTGCTGTCGTGAACAACTTCAAAATAAAAGCATTACAATGCACTAAAGTCCGTGTCTTACTGGATTTGGAGAGATTTTATTTTGAAGTTTGTCTCACCACGTTGACTGCGTGTTCCATCATGGATAGCACGAACAATTGTTGCGGCTGGCTTGACTCGTCTTTCCGATGGTGGATTTTTTTTTTTTTTTGCCAAAACAAAACAAAAAACTTCACAAAGTACGGCCAGCAGATCCAAACCCTGAACCTCAGACCTATGAGGCGGGTTGACACAGTGGACTGAGTGAGGGTTATCTAGCTGAAAATGCATATTTAAAAAAATGTGCGAGCATGAAAACATTATACCGGTTAGCCTTTATGGCGCCACTTAACTCTTTTGACACACCCTGCCACTGTGGTTTCAAGTCTGAGAGTTGTGATGCTAATGAAATGCGTGGACTGAAAAGAAACAATAACCTTATGGTGTGTTCACTACAATCACACACTAAACTTGATGTTGTTGTCCCAACTGCTGTCTGTTTAGACATTCAGTGACTGCTGAATTTGTTTTCGTTGGGACACAAATGAAGAAACAGTTCCTCAAATTTCCAAATTGAGCAAGCAGCAACAAGATGACAAAAAAAACCCACACACATACTGAGGGTAAGATTGCAGAAACCAGTTGGTTTCATATTTCATCCTCATCAAGCTGGGAACAGTGCCGTGTTGTTTGTAACCTCAGATCATGTATCTGCATGCACACACTCACCTCTGGGAGGGACCGGTGTGAAGGGGATACTCTGTGACAGTCGCATCAGGTTGTTACGTTCAACAGCTGAAGAAAGAAAATTCTATGTATAAACTGCAAATCAGATCAGTTTGACATGAACATTTCTATTTTAGAGATACTTATTTTGGTTTAGTAATTTAAAAAAGGCAAAGTTTTAATGGGGGCCTGCGCCCTTATAATATCAGCATTTCATTCAGAAGCCTACCTGAGTACTGGTAGTTCTCCATAGGCTTGAAAGGTGACCCAATGGCTGCAGAAAAAAAGTTGAGATTGACTTTTACTTGGAGAGCGTGTACTGACATTTTAATATTTTTTAAAGTACTACCCCATTAAACAGTTTCCACAACACATAATTTCCCATGTAAATCAATTGGAAGTCTTGAAAGTGGCCAAAACGTTCTCACAATCCTTTCTGGGTCCAAGGTGGGAGTGGCGAGGTGTGCAGAGAGAGACTGAAGCTACAAAAAAATAAAAATAAAATTCAAAATTGGGAAATAAAACAACAAATATGGAATGAAAACATGGCAGGTCAATATCTTTCTATTATCGGTGTATTTTATTTATTTCCATACTGTATATTTAAAAACAACCACAAGTACGATTGGATGTGGTCTTATTTTTCTTCTTCAATGCACTGCAGAGGTATTGGATCAAGGCTAATATCGGCAAATCAAGTGACTTGAATTTGGGTGCAAAAAAAAAAAAAAAAGGGATCGGGACATGCCTAACCACAAGGCAAGAAAAGCAGTAAGAACTATAGGCATGTAAAATAAGTGACACTTAAATGTGCTTGGAATGCACGAGAGCACTTAAGGCAACAACGGGTCATTTGTATTGCAGCAGAACCAGCTAATCTAGACTGAACCTGATTGTCCACAACTGTAAAGACGGTTGATGAGTGAGAATCTTACCAGGCAATTTGTCCTCCCCAGGGGGTTGGCTGGAATAGAGAAACCAGTTAGGTGAGAATGCATGAATAACTAACTAAATACACAAACAAACAAACAAACAAACAAACAAACCTTGCATGTAAAGAATTACAGTTTACATAGTTTGCCTGAATGAAATGCCTATTAACATTTCAAAGATGCTAATACAATGGTATTTTTGCTTGATCTGTAAATAACATACATAACTGTAGTGTCTTTGTCTTTTAAAACAGTAATCTTTGGATAATTGAAGTGCATGACATGAAAATTAAAGGAAAAAAAACATACATCCGTACAAACACACACACACACACACACACACACACACACACACACACACACACGCACACTAACAGTGCTTCTCAAATATTTTTTGTTACGCCTTACTAGGAAGAAGAAAACATTTCGTGCCTCCCCCAACTCTCCGCCACAACGATAAATAGTGTGATTTGCCTTTAAAATTGTTATAAAGACAACTCGTATCTTGTATCCTGAGTAACAAAAAAGAAAGAAGGAATAGATCAATTTGTAACAAATAATTGTATTAACATGGTTTTTAATCTGTCAGAAAAGATTTGACTGACTGGGGAAAAAAAAAGAATTAATATGCGCGCTACTGCCACCTAGTGGATTCGCTATGACAGTTAATTCTTGCGGACCCCCCAAAAACAAAAAACAAACAAACAAACAAACAAAAAAAATGCTTAACCTGGCATGCATCATGCCTACTACGTATTTGAGACGGACTGACATACATACATAGAGTAAAAAGACTATACTAGGGTTGACCATTTATGGAACTCACTCTAAATGCAATTTGAGGTTTTTTTTTTTTGTGTTTTTCAATTTCAAAAATTAATTCTGCCACACAGTTGCGGTGTAAACACAAGTACTGTATATAATGTAAAGGCATAAACTAACAAAATAAAGTGCAGATTTCAACAATCATGCAAACAAATCAGGAGCTTTACCACTGAAATATATGTTACCATGGACTGCGCTCCTTAACCCCCCCCCCCCCCCCCCCCCCCCCACTCACACACACACAGAGTATAAACATAAACAAGAGGATACATACAGGCTACTTGCTTGGGCTGATTTGACTTGGACTCTTTCCTGGGAGAGAGAATAAGAGTTAACATGGAGGGTTGTCTGCTGCGGACCTGACATTTTCTATTCGAGCTGATTCGACATCAATGAAATAAATTATTTTGCACATCTACATAAGAATATATGGAAACAAGAAGGTACGCCCAGTTACTACTGTTTCTTTCTGTATTTAATTTGACTGTTTTATATTTATGGGCAATAATTGTTTTTTCATTTTGCAATTGATCTGAGAGATCTTCACATGCTGATGTTTTCGTTAGTGAGGAGAAGGGGGGTGGGGTGCACTTCATACCGGCACTGAAGTCTGGGGATCCTCGTGAATGAGGATGTCTTCAGCTGACACTCTGCTACGATCCCTCTTCCTCAAAGCTACAAACACACAGTCATCCATCATGATTTCACACTTGGTGTTCACAAAAAAGAATCAAACTTATTTTGATACCTCTGTGATTTTAACCTACTTGAATCAGGATGGAGAAAAGCAGGACTCCTGTCAAACTCTGTGAAACCAGCATAGGAGTTAACTGCTCTAATTTGACCTTGACCTTCGGGCTGAACCTGGAGAGATGACCAGACAAAGGTAAGAGGACATTCTTTTTAAAAACGTTTTTTCATTGACAGACAGACAGACCGACCAGTTGTCTGCTGCGCTGGGGGCTGCAGGTCTCTTTGGGTGTTGAACGCTGGAGGTCAAAACAGTCTTTATGTCCTGAAAGCAAGACAACATTGAAAGCCATTTCTAGTCAAATCTTGTTTGATTTAGTCAAACCTTGCCACCAAACCCACTTTTCAATCAAACATGACATTCTTTACTGGAAAAGCTCTTCTCCGTCAAGTAACAATGTTGATAGCAATACATTAAAAAATATTCTGATTTGTCGAGGGACAGAAAAAGAAGGGGAGAATCAAACCCATCACCACGCTTCATCACAACAGAGTGGCACGAGAACCCTAAAACCGCCTCCACCTGTCAAAAAGATCCTGAAAAGCTTCAGACTGGCAATCAATCGGTCATGCAAGCGGCCAAAACATGTCTGAAATCAAACTGACTCCACCAGAACCAGCGAGAACAGACAAAGGAGGAAAAGGGAGGAAAAAGCTGCATGGCACCCGATATGGAAGGGGACAGATTCCAGTACCCAGCAAATGCGACCCATAACTCAAACCTCTTGTTAGCACTTCCACATGTATCCTCTTGTCACAATTTTCACCCTCAGAGCAGGACCCTCGTGGGAGAGAAGCATCGCAATCTCTCCTCCCTCGTCTGTGGTGCCATTGGCCTGTCATGGCAGGGGCGGTGGCGGAACATCCGCTATATTCTTGGCTCCGAGTGTTTATTTGGCATCTACTTGGAGAGGCTGTCCGGCCCTCATCATCGCAAAAAGCCTCATTGATGTACCCCGATGCCCCATCCCCACCCTGTGCATTGCCAGGCTGCGCGTAGCAAGCAGGAGAGCAGGCAGGCTGAGCAGCGCCCGAAGTCTTAGATACAATGACCACAGTAGGATACACACACACACAGTTTTCATCGTCCTCGCTCCTCTTTGGAGCGACATCAGATTCTCTTTCATACTTACCGACAAACGCCCCAAACTCTACAACGGCGCTGTCAGGCGTCTGCTGGTAAAGCCCAGCCAGAGCAAGCTCTGGGTGGCTGGAGCCGCTCGGCTGGGAGGGGGTGCTGCTGATGTGGAAGTGCGCCACGCGCGAGGGCACGTTGGGCAGGCTGGATGGAGAGTCGGAATACTCCGGCTCGTGTGGACGGGTCAGTTTGCTGCGGGTGAGGGAGTGGCCCCGGTAATGCAGCTCCGGAGGGGAAATGGCACTTTGGACAAAGGCACTGGAGGCACCGGTGCCGGAGGAACCAGCCTCAGCGGCGGAGTGCTCGAGCCCGAACACGCCCCTCCTCTCTGGACTCAGATTGGGATCCAGCCCAAGTCCTGTTAAGGGGCTTGGCCCATCTCTGCGACTACTATCAATCCCGTAGCCCCCGGCACCAATCCCAAAAAGAGAGTCTGCGATGTTCGCTGAGCCGAGGAAGGCCCCCACACTCTGCTTCCCCATCACGGAGGATTTGGAATGGGGCCCAGTGTCTGTTGCAACAGGGACGATGCTGGGGACCACGTTCTTGGAGAGGCTGAGCTCACGGGTGATCTGATTGTGGACCTTGCTGGCCTCCGACGACCTCTGAGCCGTCAATGTCTTCAGAGTGTCCACGGTGAGAGCAGACAGGTCCTGCAGGTGACCGATCTGGGAATCTAATGTGTGCAAGGAGCGCTTGATGAAGTTGACCTTGTTGCCCACCTCCTTCAGCTGCATGCACATGGTCTCAACCCTGAAAAGTAGTACAAATAAACACCTATTTATGCCATATTTCCTCAAATGCCCTCCCAGACAAACAGTGCTAGCATCTGAAAATATGTCAGGTCTAGATGCTATTGTTCTCAAACTGACAAATTGTTTAATGTAGTTGTAGAAATGACCGCCACTACCTGCAGGAATACACTATTGTTAGTTAACATTATCTGCTGCTTATCTTCTGTGATTCGTGGTTGTACCTTTCAGAGGTGAGCCGTATGCGTTCCTCACTTCCTGTGTGAAACTGGTCGTCCTTTTCATGAAAGTACGTCTCCACACACTGCTCCTCAAAGTCATGAAGCTTCTTTTGATCTTCCTCTGTGAGAAACAATTCTGAAGGGAAGAGGAAGAACATGATTGTTTTTTAACATGAAAAATATCATAAAAAATAAATGAAGTATTTGGTAGTGCGCAACCACTATGCCAGAGAGGATAGTAGAAGATTCTGAGCAACTTATTTCGCAAAATGGTATGGAAAAGAATCAGAAAAGGAAATAGCTGGAAAATAGTAGAGACCAATTTCTTTTGGTGCTTCCCCCCTCCTCCATTGTTAATGAAACAAAAAACCCCCAACAAAAATCAACTGGGGGGAGGGGGGCAGACATACTTGGCCCGTAGGTGTGCTCCTTCTTTCTTTTTCTGCACATGCATAAGAGCGAGTAGATATGGCACAGGAGGATGAAGGGTGGAGGGAGGACCGGTTTCTCATGGTAGGCCATGATGAAGTGGTAGCGCTGATACTTCCACACCAGATTGGAGATGGACTTCACCTGGAGATACACGTTGCTGTAAAGAAGAACAGGGACGCTGTTACATTTAGGGCCACACACTGGTTTAGATCACTAGAAATTACTATTTGGGAAAATTGGTCAGGTCAAGCCTCATTTTGTGGCTCATGCCCTTTTTGTTGTTACCATTGTACACTTCATTGATTCATTGATTAGTGGAAGCTAAAAGTAAAGTGTGGTCGTTAATTTGTAAAGCTGTCTTTCTCATTTGGGTGAGCTGGGGCTTCTCACCCCGCCTCAAATACAAGCGCTACAGAAAATGGACAGATGTTAGGGGATATAGTTGCAGTTTGAAAAATCAAGTTTTCCTGTGGGAAGTGCTTTTTTTTTTTTAAATTCGCTGTCAATGTGTAAAAGGATTATGTGAACAAATGGGTGAACCTACTTGAAAAAGGCGATGAGTAGGTTGACCATGAGGATGTACTGTACAAAGAGGTAGACTGCTTGTAGGAGAGGAGTCAGCCACACTCCTGCTGTGCACAGGCTCTTGACTGACGTGTCACTGTTGTTGGCGCACACTGAAGAAAAAGCGGTTACCAGCGTATTTATACATTTTGCCACAAAACACAGTGTTAAACATGGTCAACTACATCTAACTACCTATGTTGTCCTAAACGGATGTGACTGCCTTTAAACGTTAGGGATGGTTATCATTAAGATTTTATTGATAATGCCTCTCAGCGATACTGCTTATCGATACGGTAATGATAGACTTATCGTAAATTTTTTTGTTTGGGAAAACCCCTAAATATTACAATTTAAAATTGCTAAAATTTATTTTATTTTTTTTTAAAAACTGCCAATAAATTGTCATGCAACTGCAACAACTCCCATGTAAAATAAGTAAATAAATAATTTACCAGGAAAAAATATGTTTTGAACAAATCACTACTAGTAGATGTCTCAAGGGGTGATCGCCTCATTTCCCCCTACCATTTGTAGCTTCTCCCATCTCACTCCTGTCTGTCTCCTCAACCAGTAATACCAAGAATAACCAAATATTTACGTTAGCATAGCTACGACGCTAACCTAACACAAAGGATGCCATCTGGCCAGTTGAATACTGGGGCTTGGTATCCAACCCTAATAATCAAATTGAAAAAAACATTTGCAATGATCATGTTGGGTTTTGTGAACTGATTCTTGACCGTTCCTGGTGTGCTTTTGATTTGTTGTGTCCTAAACTGACATCAGCCGCACTGCATGAGAAGCTTGGAGTAAAACTGTCCTTACCCTCGTAATCTCCCTTTCCATCCTCATCGTCCTTACCATCGATTTCATAGGCATACACTTCCCCATACATCATCCAGTACGGCTGGAACACCACATCTTTGGCCAGCGTCCAGCTTGGCTCTTCGTGCGGATACAAAATGGCCTTGCGGGGAACTCCGTAGCTTAGCAGGACAATGGCCATTATCACCACAATGTAAAACATGTTGGCCACCTGCAAGGGATGACGTAGAAAGGGAATGAAACGCATGCCTGTAAGGATATAGTTCTAGTTGGAAGTATGCGTAGCATCTCGGAGCATGGTAGAAATTCTCAGTTGTGTTGGGAACTCACCATTTTGGCAATCATCATGACATAGGGCCCAGCTTGCTGGTTGACGGCCAGGATATCGAGGAGTCGCACGTACCAGAAGATGATATTGAGACAATAAACTGTCCTGCCTGGGACAAAGGCTTTCCCTCCACCCAGCCTCAATCCAAAGCCAATGAAAAAGGACACAATGGCCAGGAAGTCTGAGACGTTGAAGTAGTCATCAAACCACACCTTTATCTTTTGACTTATTTTGCCTGCTTCTGACATAAACATCTGCAAATGGGGCAAACATTTCGTTTTAGGCTCTTCATGAAAGGAAGGAACTATTTTAAGTCTGTTGAATGAAATACCTCTCGAATCTTCTCAATGGCTGAGGTGAAGATGTAGAGAATGACGACCCACTCTTGAGGAGAAGGCCATTCGGGCATTTTTACCAGGACCACGTATGAGTAGAGCATCAAGAAACCCAAATAAAAGAGCTGGGGACACACAAGAAAACTAGCTGTGCAAAGCAATTGAAAGAAGGTAGGAAGGAAGGCAGGCAAGAGGATTGTGTCAGACCTCATTCACCACCAAGGCTTGCCTGTACAGCTAATAAAAGCGACATTTGGGGAAATTACAACAACTTGGCTAAACAGCGTCACAGAAGAGTTTATGTTCAAATTTGGAGGCTCTACAATATATGGTATTATACTATTGCACATAAAAACAATAAGTAGTCATTTTATCCTAAAATATAACCTACATTTTTTTTAGACGGGTACACTGTTTCATTGACAGTTTCCAACAGTAGGGGGAGCCCAGTGAAGAAGGGGTGAAAAAAGGTTTTATTTTATGTGTAGAATTCAAGGTCAAATAATTGGACTGTGGGAAAGTAAGCACAATAGGCGATAGAAAGAAATTTTCAGTTGATACCAGATACAACCTGGGACAATATTATACGCAATAAGAATAGTGTCATTATATCTAAAATAATAAGGATAATAATATTTTTTTAAAAGAATGGTACACCGATTCATTTACATTAAAAAAACATCAGCTTTTATTTCGTGTATAGAATTCAGGGTCAAATAATAGAACTGTGGGAAAGTATCATAATTAGCATACAGATTGTTTAAGGTTTCAGCTGATGTACCAGATACAGCACGCACTAGGTGGACCTTTTAAAAAACACACGAACCAAAACACTTAAGTACGTAGTTAAGTGCTTGGAAATCAAGCAATCATCTGACGTGTAAGTTTGGGCTGAGTGCTGCCATTGACGCTTGGGGGTCAGAATGCAAGAAGGCATCTGAGATATGCTAATGATCACTTTCATTGATGCTATCTGCTCATTATTATCCTTGTAAACAGAACCAAGCGGTAATTCCCGTTTATCTGAGAACCCGCCTTGGGCTAGCCTTAGTACAAAGCGGAGATGAGATAATGTCAAGCATGAGGGTGAATGTGATGATGAGGACTCAACAGCTGCAAGAATGCTGAGAAAGTCAAACATGCACACTACAGTTAATATGCAACACCAAAAAAAAAACAAAAAAAAAAAACCCCCCAAACCTGGAACATTTGCACTTTTTCTGCAATAATATGGAAAGAAATACGATGATAGGGCAACAATGCCATCATCAGAATATCATAGCATGAACAAAACTGTATGGTACTGTTCCTCATCACCACTGTCCGAGAAAACCAGGTAATATTGTATCTCTGAATTTTACGATTGTATTTTTTGATTAATAAGAAAAGCTCATAAAATTTGGATTTTTGCTTTTCATCAGCCTGAGCAGCACAAGAAAACATAACCCAGTGGTGGGCAAAGTTCTTTCATCTGATCCAACAACTATTTACTGTACATCATTAATACGCTCTAACATTTGAAAGATGTCTTATTGGTTTATCTCATCAAGTAATTGGTAAATTCATACCTTGCAAATAATAAAATGAAGCAATATTATTATTTTAAAATAATTTGCTAATTAACTACAACCAAATTAATTATAAACACAGTGCCACACCAAGAAACACCCCTTTTCACGATGCCTGTAAAAGTTGACATTTTTCAGCTATTTGCAAAAACGGCGTTGGCAAGGAATGACAATGTTTGTAACAATAGATGTCAACCATCAGCTCGGAGTCAGGGACAAAGCCAAAAAGGCAAACATGCTACTAGTCACTTACTTTCCATTACATTAAGAGCAACTGACATTTTATTTTATGCTCTCTTATATGCGTTACTAACTACAAACAAAGATGTATTGAAGACTAGGGTGGGCGCAGTCATGGATTACACGTTTCTTAGAATATCTGCTAATTTTGTGGACTCGAATGTTGTTTATATTGGTCTTTAAGCATTTGGGGTCAAATGTGGTGTACTACCTAGCTTTACGGTAGTAATTAAGCGGTGAATTATCCAAAGCGCAAGTGGTGTGTATCTGGTGTCCGATAAGACTGAGTGCACCTTGTCCCTTTCCCTTTTGTCATTACTGTTTGACTACTACTCCTTCATTACATTGAAGTACCGCGAGACTGATAGACTGATGGTGTTTTATCTGCACAATAAGATTCAAATGAAGACTAATTCAACTTAAACTGCTCCTTTTCTTTCTACCGATTGTTGTAAATACTGTATGAAAATGATAAGCCTTGTGGAGACTCCTACGCAGATTGAATATCATGAGAGGATCCAAGTTGTTCCAATCTTAATAAAACCTCTTAACTGCTAAATACATGTAAGCATACCGTGTTGGACCAGAACTTGACAATGGGAGCGTGGTAGAAAGCGTAGATTTTCCTGGTTAATGGCAGCTTTCTGGAGCGAACGTGTGTCTCCATGTCAGTCTTTGTATCCACAGGGTCGTTGGATCTGGCCTCCTTGAAGACTTCCTGCAAAGAAATTGAAACGAATAAGGGGAAACAAACACAAGCAACGGAGGGAATAGAGACATCAATCACTGAGTGTTTCAGACCATTTGGATGTCATCGGTAATATTTTGGAAGTTGTTTTCGCTGTCCTCCATGGTAATCTGGTGGTCGTCCTGACTCTGAGGGATGTGTGCCATCTCTGCTTTGGACTTGTACTCCAACAGCAGGATAGCAGGAGGCACTAAGATGCTCAGGATCACCTGGTGACAAACGCAGAGGCAAGTGGTGGGTTCTCATATTTTGCCCCTCTTGGCTGCAACTAAATAATTGGAAAACACCAATTTCGTAGGATACACAACAAACAATGTCAAGCCCAAAATTTTCTTTTCAATGTTACGACTCAGCTGCTTTCTGGGTTCGAGCTGCGATTGGCGAGACACAGTTAAAAACCCACAAGGACAACTTCACATGGCAAAATAAAACAGAATAAAAATCTAAGATGGAGTATGAACCTTGTACCAGGAGTTCTTGCGCATGTTTAGCCGCCCCATCCACATGTCGGACAGCAGCAGTTGGGTGCAGGTGTGTGCCACGAAGGGTCGCAGGTGTGAGGAGACAGCCAGCTTCAGGCAGGTGGAGTTGCTCCAGTTCTTCAGCTCGTAGGTGAGAAGCTTCATGGCCATCGTCTCATCCTGCCTGAACGATTGCTCCAGCAGGTCCACCGCCAACGTGCCAAATTCACTGGAAAACACCCGCAATCGCTGTCAGGCTGGAATCCAAGCTATCGTTCCTCTATTTACAAATAGGGACCCCCCTCTCCCAACAATGCACCACTTAATCAGAATAAAACACTCTCTATATATTACAATACTATATTACATGATACCATCACGTAAAATGGAGACGAGCCACAAAATGAAGCTTGACTCCCCATTTAAAAAAACCCCAAAACATGCTCATTACTGTACAATTGCCGGAAGCTGAGAATGCCTGTTTTCTTTATCTTACAAGAGGCTTACATACAACCACACAGATGTTGCTCACTCCGTCAAGTGACAGGAAACCTACTTTGAGTACTCCTTCAGCTCTTCTGATGTGTCGTCCACCACATCACTCTTCTTGGCCTCGTAGCCCATCGAACGGCAGAGCTTGCAGGCCACCAGGGCCTTGGCCATGTTCTCCTCGCCGTGCTGCCAGAAGAAGAGCGACATTTTCTGCCGCTTCATGAGCACGGCCCACACCAGTAGCTCGTTGAAGGGGTAGGGAAAGCGCCGCGTTTCCGGATCGTCGATGTCCACGATCTCCTCCTTGTTGCGCTTCTTATTTTGCTCTTTGGTGGACTCCAACTGAGAGGAGGCCAGTTAGAGAAGCAGAGTTGTCAAATTTGGATATATTTTAATGACACAAAACATGAGAACCCCAAAAGCAAAATTTTGAGGGGATAAAGTCACACAAAAATTTGAGCTGCCATGCACAATGAAGTCAACCAATCTCGTGAGCACTCAACTCAAAAAAGGATTAATTCTGTGTGCACGTTGTTTTATCTTTGTTTTTTCTGTAGCTCCTATTCAAATAAGATGGACAGCTGTTATGCATGTAGGCGTGGGCCAATAATTCAATAACTGCTCGACCTGTCTGTCACTGGTAATAAGATTTTTTATGGGCCTTTTTCAGCAGGCTGCATTATGATTGACTGCTTGCAGAGATGTGCATGTTAGAACAAGGTATTGACTACCACATTGTGGTACCATTCAGCTGTAACTCCAAGAGGCTACAGATGTTTTTGTTACCTTGGGTTTGTAAGGCTGTGCCGTCTTGATGAAATGATTGTGCCTGGTCTTCTCCTTCTTATCAGCCTGCATGCTGAATGACTCGTGACTTTTCCTCAAATGAGAGCCCGGGCCCATCAGGTGGCGCCCAGACCTCTGTGCGCACATAGGGAAGAGCAACTTTCAAGTTGCATTCATTATGGAAAAGGAGAAAATGATATCTGCTATACAGGATTGCCTGCCACTCACCCGACTGCTGCCATGGAGATTGTTGTAAATGATTCTAAAGCGTTTCCTAGTGTAGTTGCACCTGTAAGTTCCGCCCATCAGGTACTCGATGACCAGGCCCACATCAATTAAGGTGATTTTATAGTTTGGAGGTAAGTTGCTCTATGAAAAGTCACAAAAGCGACAAAACAATGCGCTTGAGATTGAATCGACTTGTACTCGGGAGGTGAAAATGATCTCTACTGACCTGCTTGACATCTCTAACCAGGTGGAGGAGAGTTGGATTGTTGGGTGGTTGTTTCTAAAATGAAAAAAAAAAGTGTTACGCCATAATTGGCAAACTTCCTGGTTATCGTGTCTGTTTCATAACCATACAGTGTTGTAAAGCTCCTCGAGCCGACTGATTGTCAGGAAGCGGTGCATGCTGACACCATTTTCAATCAGCAGCTTGACAAAGTCCACTCGATCCATCACAAGTGCATCCAGCATGGCTTGTTCCAAGGAGCTCACCTGCACACACATAAAAAAAAAGACAAATAAATGACTTTGAGCTTATGATAAAACTTATAACAAAAAAAAAAACAACAACAAAAAAAAATTGGGAGAAGGCAAAGTTCCATTTGACTGAAGTTCCCCACCGAAATCTAAATAAATGTGATGTAGAAGAGATTCCGGAATGCTAAAGTTTCAAAATAAACAGCGCCACTGAGGGAAGCTCGTGATGACCACTGTAATAAAAGTTCATATTACAAGCTGCTCATGGCCCCCAGGGCTCCTCAAACTACACCATTGTGGTCATTTGAGATTCCGGGGTCATTTTGTGCCAGTCCAAAGGTTTGGAGCCGAAGCTGAGCTTAGCAAACACACGTACGTACACACACATACCAAAAGCTGCTGTCCGTACACAAACACGTGATTCTTGGCAATGTCAACGCGATCCCAGGCCAGGGTCAGGACCAACTGATCGAAGGCAGACGCATTTGTGCCTGAAACACACAGGTTAAATTTGCATGAACACTCTCATAAGATAATTCACCGGTACCCCTCAAACACTGAAATGCGCACACTACAACTCTTTTTATGGGCACTACGGAAAAGTTCACACACACGCACACACAAGCACAACTGAATTTTTTTTTTTTTTTTCCTCACACAACTGAGGTGATCTAAAACACACTTTTCAAGAATGCGCTCACGCTCAAGATTTTTCCCCCCACGTACCAGAGCATTTCAGTAGTGCGTGAGCATTTCAGTAATGTATGTGTGCTATAAAATTTCAGTCCAGTCTATGAAAGCGTTTCAGTGTTTGAGAGAGGTCATCCTGAATTATGTTGTGGACACATGCTCTATTGTGACAGATACATTGCCAGGGATGGTAATCCTTCTGAACTAAATATGTCCTGTAAGATGGCTAACATGATTGGATTACAGATAATTAGTCCAGTCTATTACTCTGCTTTGGATACAAGTATTGGGACAACTTGCTTTTACAACGACGGCACGTGAAACAGGTTGAAAAAAAGAGGTGAGAAAGCGTCTGTTAGCACACAATCTCTGCTCCAGTGCATCCAAATCATGTTGGATGGTGTTCTTCCTCATCGAACTCATTCAAGCACGCCTTAATGCATCTTACTTAGTGCAGAGGGAACAGAAAAGGGTCTTCCGCAAACTGTTCCCACAAAGTTGCAAGCACACAATTGTGCAGAATGTTTTTAAAAGATAAAGACTTAAAATTCTCAGGGGAATTAAAGGCTCCAGCTCAGTCCGATTGATTAATTAATTGCTTTGTTGTGTCCCAAATGTTTGGTCGTACAGTATTTCCTGGACTTTAAATGGATTGTGTGCGTAACGGCAATCTGACCCAAAATGATTTCTTGACAGCATTATTCCCACTTGCACAACATTTCTAGTTTCAGGGACAGTGATGATTTAACAACCCCCCAAACTTCCCACGACACATCATGTCTGGTAAACACTGCCTGGCGCATCATAAATACCAAAAGTGGAAAGTGGAAAAGAGACTTTAACCCTTACTTGGGGGACTCCATTGAATTACAAATGTTTCCCCCTCAAACGTAAACCTGAATATTGTCATTGTACGTAACGTAACTTCAGCAATATTGTTTTTTTCTACACAATTAGTGTTACATTTTCAATAATCACAAAGGTCTACTGCTTTATAGTGAGGCATATGGTGTCCATTTTGACGTCCTCACAACATGGCCGGTAAGCGTTACAAGCTCAGGGTCCTTTGGAGGATGAGTTACTGTTTCACCAGCAAGAACACACCTTGGGCTGACAAATATTTGTTTGTGTGGACTTTTCAGTCAATATGATTGCTCACCTGCAGTCACCACAGGCATTCTTGTCTTTTGTCTAAATATAAAGTGAGGGCAAGGAATTACTCAGTGGGTGGGTGGTAAGCTATTTGCATAACGTCTCGTAAAATTGATTTTGAGTCATTTGGACGTATTTTGGGACTCTGAATTGACTCTTTTAAGCAAGTTTCAAGAGATAGAATTGATGGAGAGACTGTGAATGCGAGGAACACGATCTCCCCAAAAGCAAACAGGACCAAACTGCTTTGAAGGCATATCAATAACAGAAGAAAAACACTGCACAGCCTTGAAATCTTAGAGCCTTTGCCCCAGATGAACACTGAATCAACATGGCTAGCACTCTGGCAGAAAAGAATCTTTATTACTAGAAAAGTAAAGAGAGCGTATGGGAACTCCTACCTTGGAGTAAGGCTCTAAGAATGGCAACGTCGATGTCCTGGCTCTCTTCGGAACTGATGTGAAACACAGTAATCTGTTTTGAAGAAACACAATTCTCAGCATCAAGGAATCTTTACCAGGACTTGTTTAATTGTTATACTATACGTGGACAACAATTTGACAGTTTAGGCAAATAATCTACTGGTCAAGAGCCTATTTTAATCAGAGATGGCTTTATGTGTACTTCAATGTTTCCTTTTTAAACTGATTTAAATAACGACTTTTTTACTAGCACATCCATTAAAAAAAATATATATATTTTTTTTTTACTTTTACGGTTGACCTATAAAAGCCGTAAAGTGTGAAAAGAAAAGACAGGAGCAGATTCGGAATCGGCGCACAAAATTCATGCAGAGAAGTTTGCAAGGAGTTAAATAATTGTTTTTGGGGGGTTGGATCCCTCTTATGAAGTGTCCAGTGAAGGAATAAAAAATATATTTTCCGTATAGAATCACTTTACCAATTCTTTCTTCTTCATACACTCCATCAGAGTCTGAAAAAGATGGATGGCATCACTCTGGCTGAAGTTGAAGGTTTTCTTGATGGTGGCAATGATGTCCGCCTCCACGCCATCAGGTAGGCCGCTGGTGTAAAAAAAAAAAAACAATTGACACTCCAATACAGTGATTTCTTAACAGCACAATAAGAAGTGTACATAAGCTGACTAAAATATGAACTGACCGTCTGCTTTGAAATTTCACTGGCTTCTATTAACAGGTGCTGATTAGACTGTATGCTGTCACTGTTTACTTGCCTTGAGTAAAGGGTTAAGTACATGAATAATGTATGAAACATTGACAAGTAACTTTAATTTAATGTTTAATACACAGACTAAATACATAGACACCTTTTTTTTGCCTGAGTTCACAAGTACTAGGTTATTTTTTCATCCATCAATCAATCAAGGAGCTGTCTGTCAGTGTGTTTGTCGATTGTGTTATTATACATCTGATGCGGTTCAGCAGCATTTGAAAATACATCAGTCAAGCATATTCATGAAAGGGGCAAAAATCAATCAAATCTTGGCAAAACGGGGTTACACTGCACATTTGTAGTCACATTGACATTAAAAACACAGAGCGTGGCTTGTGTGAAATTCTATGAGCAGATGTTTCACCGACTTTGAAATGAAAAGCCTGTTTTGCGGCTGAAAATGATCCGAAATAGATCACAGATGACAACATGTTAACATCTATGGCTCCGAATCTATGCACATAACGCCTTACCCGCCTTCCTCAGTTTGCTTGTGAACGTAAGCCAGTATGTCAGCGGCTCGGCCCGTTCCCTCACACACCACCACAGGGACGGGAGGGCTCTCTTGAAGATAACCAAGCACGGTCAAGATCACATTGGGACCACCCTCGAAGATGAGTGCCACCACAGGAACACCCTGACCAATACCTGCGAGAAAGACGAAGAATGCAAAGGAGCAGCTCAACACACTACAGTTTTGCCTGCTATATCACAATTCATCTACCACGGCCCTGCTACAGATTTTTTTCCTACTTTCAATCTACATGTCCAGTGCGGAAATCCTCGCTATATAGTATTCTGTAGTGCCCTGATAGGTGGTAAAGGAGAGCCACATTGGCCGATGCTCTTTTCAGCAGTTTATTGACCACCAAGAGAAAAGTCAAACACAATAAGCACACCCACGCAGAAGCTGCTGTCGGCCACAGCTCACACCCAGACACTCACAACGATACTCGCCATTGCCTGATACAACCCACCAACCTCCCTCCTTCACTGACATCACATGCCACACCATCAGGCCCCACCTCTTAAAGGCAGGTATCTAACAAACATAGTCAAATATGTACAGTATTTACTACAAATCCCAATGTAATGAAACAGAACTATATATATATATTTATACAGTCTCTCTTGAGCGTGGATTTTCTTTTCTGCAGGTGAGTCTGGAACGCATCCACCGCAAACAAGGCAATCGGTGTATCCTCTATAGACCACCTCTGTTGCATGGCTCTTACGTGCATGTATTCTTTGGAGGTTGATGTGCTTCTCCAGGTCCCGACGTAGTTGAACCTCCGCACCGTACTTGCCCACTGTGCCATCATCAACAAGGAGGAAATGTGAGTGGAGGTTGTTGAGAACGTTGAGTTTGCTGAGAGGGTTGAGCAGTGTCTGGTATGGAGCAATGATCTGTGGAAATACCCCAAAATAAGGTGAAAGTTTTGTTTTGATGATACATTGCAATATGACGGTACGTCTTACGTCTCTCCCGATGAGGTCGGTCCTGTTTTCGATGACTCCCCAGGATGCAATGCCAATAGTGCAAATCTTCTTTGATGATCTGGAGCAGTGCTCTTTGAGAGCGTCACCGACATGCTTTGCTACACCTTTGAGAAAGTGATGCAAATAACAGTCAGTGAAGACATGATGACTACTGACTGTAACTTTCATTTGCTCTGTAATTACTCATTTAAAAGCGAGCGCATCACTTCCCATGAAAGAAACAATATGCAAGAAGATGATCGTCAACTATCCGCTAACCATTTGGATTAAAACATCCTTGTATTAAGGAGAATACCCATAGAGAGAGACAAAGATAGCGAGAGGGAAATACTGTAAACAGATCGATAGAGAGATACAGGTCTGGATATGTGTCCCTTGGAGTCACCACTTAAACACTGTGATCAGCCTGCACCAGCTTAACGCTGTCCAAACACATTACTAATGACACATTAAGAGCTTGGTATAATCGTGCGACGTGGGCCTGATGTGATAGTTGTTAAGCTACAAAAGCTTGTTTTTGCTCATTATTTTAAGGAAGCCCAAGAACCTTGTGCAGTACACATCTGTCAAGAAAACATGCCGGAAAGTGAAGTAACTCCAAACCTGTGTTGACCCCTCCGGTGAGGATCCAGGCACCCGTGGTGACGGCTGCCTTGATGAGGCCTTTGCCCACCACTTGCTTGATGCGAGGGTGTAGCTCAAAGTTTTGCACGCCCCCGTGGACAGAGATGAGGATCTTGGGCAACTCCATGTGCCACTCCTTGAGCATCAGCCGCAGGATGCTCTCCGGACGAGAGTCGTGGGACAAACGCACATACTAGACAGACATTAATAAGCACGCACAACATACAAGCAAGACAAATTAACACGATCATCACAAATGTCAACCAAAACATTAGCATATTTTTTTCCTCAGGAGAAGTAGGGAGATTATTGTTTCCTCTTACTTTAAAAAACATAATTGGATCTCTATCTATCTACACACACACACACACACACACACACACACACACACACGCACACACACACACACACACACACGAATAATACTTG